GTGAACATCCTCGACACTTCGGAAAGCCTCCTGCCAGAGCTCGAGCTCTACAGCGACATTGAGCTGTTGGAAACGTGTCTCAAGGTGTCGCTGGAGAGTGTCGGGGTCGCTCAGATTGATGGCGTGCATCTGAGAGGAGTACTTGGCAGCGGTCTGCACATGGTTTCGGAGGAGCTCGCAGAGTCGACGGAACTCGGTCTTGCGAGTGTACTTGAGACAAAAGTCAAATGCCTGGGTGGCGGTGCTCTGGTAGAGGATCTCGAGACGAGCATTGTTTCGGAGAATGTCGAGGACAGTTCTGTAGGCCTCCCAGAGGAACTTGAGCCAAGGAGTGACGATAGCCCGGTCGGTACGGTCTCGGGACTGCTCACCGGAGACAGTAGCAAGGAGGATAGACTCCGGGGTCTCGGTGGCCTCGAGATCGTCGATGTTGGAGGTGCCGGCAGTAGCGTCAATGCTCTCCTGAACTTCGTCGGCCTTTTGCTGGGCGGCAGTAACCTTCTCAACCGCGAGCTCAATGAACTTCTTAAGGACCAGCTGTAATGTATATATTAATATCGGAAATCCCAACGGCATGGACTCTGCTATGATGTACGCACCTCGATGGTAGCAATATTTGTGTTCTGGGAAATATTCTTGTATTGGTAAAGGGCGTCCTTGGCAAGCTTGCCCTTCTTCTGTTCGACGGAAAGCTCGACGAGGAGGAGCATCACAGGCTCCAGCGACATAATTGGGACATTTCGGGAGCGCTTGTTGGTGATGTGCTCATGGAGCAGAGTCAAGGCGGCGGGAGCCTGACCGACTCCGATGAGTTCGTGAGCCCTCTTGAGAACATTCTCAGGCTTTTGGTGCGGCGGAGGAGGCTATCAAAAGACTTCAAGTCAACATCAAATGCGGATTTAGTGTGGAGGAGGGGTAAAGTTCGAATAGAGAGATAGGGCTCGAGTTCACGACAACCGGGACAAAGAAAGGCAAGTATTCCACGTACCATGCTGGGCAACCTCCTCTGTATATGACTTGACTAAGAGAGGAGATTTCTTTATGATGATCCGAGATCGATCAGCCGGTGGGGAGGTGCGCTGAGGTATTCGACCGGCACTCGTGATGGTGTTGCGACGACGTAGGTTGAATTTTTCGATTTTCGTGTGTGGCCGCTACGGTTAGGAGGGGCTATCTCACGGCTTACATCAGCTGTTATGATTGTGGTGTGGCGGTACTCAAGTTTGGTGGCCGTGCACCATCTCAGCCACATACCTTCTCTCGTTGGTTGGGTGACCCAGCCGGAAATTGAACTGGTCGAGATAAGTTTTAAATTACACTCATCGCTGGAATCGAATGAGATCGTGTGGTGTTATTTCTGGTTGCCTTCTCTACAGAAAAAAAAGGCATGATAAGCCATCGCTTCTTGGAGATCTGTTCAACTCTGAGGACAAGTAGTTGAAGGGCTGACCTTGCTATACAGTTAGCAGACTCGACTGGATCAAAGGTTTATTCGCAGCCCATTGACATTGTTGTTGACATCGAAGAGAATTGGTGTACCAGCTGATAGCCTGCCCGCTACGAGTTGTCAAGTTTAAGAAGACCATCGCCTCAAAGTGACAAACTTTGGAGCATGATGAAGATATATGTTAGAGATCTCTCGAGACCCATGTTGCTGTCCAACTTGATTGATAGCAGCAGTCAGGCGGCCAGTCATCCAGAGAATAACGAGAAGTACGAAGGATGTCTTGTGCCCTTTGCAAACTGGGATCCCATTGGAACTCGAATGCAATTGACACCGGACATCCGACATCTGAGCATAGTAGTTAAAGTGGTAAATTGTGCTCAAGCTTCTTCTTGATAAGAAGGTTCCATTTGGTTCGTGGTTCGGTTTCATTTCACGACTAATAATAAGTCAAAAGAAAGGATTTACTCCGACTATGTGCAAAAGAGCATAATATGCTCAGCCCTCCTCCAACGGCTTGCAGGGCCGGTATGGTATGTACGAGCATTGTTCATACACAAAGCTGAGATTCTGGGTTTTCGGTCACAGATTACAATAACCCAATCCGTGTATATCCTTGCGAATGGCGTCAGTTGGTCCCAGCTGGATGGCGTTGATCATTCGTTTCACGAGTTCTGGCATCTCGGAAGTCATCAAACAGTACGGCTGCACATAATGAACAGATGGGTTGGCAATCTGGTCAGGGGTCCTAAAAACAGGTACCTGAGCCGGGGATCGTGTGGGAAAAAGTGCCGACACACCAGGCTCGAACCATGTCAATATGAGAGCTGCACAACTTGCAATTATCAGCCCACAACAAGCGGAACTTGGTTGATGTTGGACCTGAGGAGAGGACTCGTCAAGACAATTACTCTCTATGCCGGAATTGCAGAGGCTAGAAGGCGAAGTACACTCTTGATGCAGAATTGTTTCACCCTCTGGTGAGCATTCGATGCCATCGTAAGCCCCAGCTCCAATGCAACAGCTCATAACAATTCGAAACAGAAACAACTTCGTACAGGGCAACACAGCCCTTTTGAGGCTGCAACCGAGAGAGAAAGCAATGTATCGTGACTGCTGCGCCGTTACTCAAACCATTTGCAGAGAGTCTGTGTCGCCAAGACGGGTCTCATCTTAATGACTAGCAGCATTGGTGGATCTCGTTGGTTTCCTCTTACATAGGTACGGAGGAGTCCTGGCTTCATTGCTCCGTCGTAGACCATAAGTATACTCCGTAAGAAAAGAGTGAATAATTTAATAAAACACAGAAATCATGAATAAACAACCCAAAGTTTGCCGCTATTGTTTGTTTCTGAAGGCAACCTGCCATCTCTGTTTGATGGGCTTGCTCACGTTATCGACTTCTTGGATGGACTCGAGAATCAAACGTTTCTCTCAGCCCAGGAAAAGGAACCCCTTTATGTATGCAGGCCGCTACTGCAGCGTTCCGAGAGCGGGAAGCGACAGTACCTAGCAGAAACAGAGACTCTGAGCGTCTCGAACTCTACGGAAACTTGAGAGTGATGCAGTAGGTGCGCATCGAGGAAGGGGCTCACAAAATCTGGGAACGTTACCTACGTGGTGTCGCAAGCTTTTGGACGAAGTAGTTGTATTCGGTTCTATAAGCTTGCGAGCAGCCGAGACGAGACCAGCTTTTGGGTGACCAAGAACGAACGAGCTCGGGCAATGTTTTCCTAGTTGGACCTGTGCTTTTCGAGCTTGGACTTGATCAACCTGACTTCCTCTCTGCCCCATTGTCGAGATGAATGGCGTATTGCTTAAAACTCTCGCGTTCTGGTAGTAGATCTTCCCGCTTTTACCGATTGATCAAAGTTTGATAAAATCAGTCTTTGGTGGCTTTGCATGATCTCATGGAAGACCTGGTAGATAAGCCTCGTAACCAAGGTCAGTAACCATCTATACCTACTCCGTAGGTACTTGTAGGTACTAAATACTTGTAAGAGTATTGACGCAAGAGGTTTGAAGTCAATGTCATTCAACCTCCCCTATCAACAAAAATCGAAGAGATTGACGAGGTTCTCTCACTCGCTCCGGCTTCTTGGCTTTGGAGGGTTGCTGATTCAGGTTCCTCCCCTCATAATTTGAAAGGCAATATCAAGTGCCTGTAGCTTTGCAACTAAGATGGCTTCGGGGCCAAATACGGTTCCGCAGGCCCCACCAAAGCCAACCACAAGCGTTCTCTGGCTCAATTAAAGGTCCTTTTTGCCATGGATGCTTGTCTGCTGCAATAAGAGGAGCATAATTAACTCGTTAGCTATGAGCATAACACATCAGGCAGGTCAGGGGCTGGGCCGGGCCAGGCTGAACTCACTGTTTTCAACGGGTTGTTGAAAAGGTTGGAACTCGAAGCTAATTCTGATGCTGTAGAAATCGGCTGTAGGCATGTTCCTTTCTGAATCAATTGGCTCCATCCAGCGTCCTGGAGATAATGTCTCGTCTCCTTATCCCGTTGATCATCACATCAACCCCTAGCAAGGTCTAAAGGTCCCTCAACGGGGGCCCCCAGCAGCTCCCCCCTACCCCCCAATTTCAATGCCAGGGCTCCCGCAGCACAGGAACAGAAGGAAGAGCCACAGCTTCAGGTGCACGAGCCACCAAGCAAATCCGCCTAAGGATGTCCCCAGACGCGCAAAGACTTATCGAGCACTCAGTGGCTCATTTCCGTGGAAAAGTGGCTCCACTATGCGATCTAAACCCAGCTTGTCCTAATGCTGGTGCTGGTGCTTCCCGCAACTTGGACCTGATGTTGGCTTTGGGTTAGGTAGGCCGTACGGTCGTACCTACCTACCTAGCTCGAAGGTTTCCACTGCAGTGCAGTTTCCCCCCCTACCATGGCCCCCGGGCCAAGCCAGGCCAGGTCTTTCCCATCACATTCTCGCTCCTGCTCTGCTCTCTGCCACCAACTTCACCAAACCTTACCTTCCTTTCCACTTGCACTTGCACTTCCACTTTCCCTGGCCTCTCGCGACGGACCCTTTTTTCTTCTCCTTTACACACCCGTTCCAACCATCATCACGTTCCGAATACCCTCCCGACCGTCGATTCTCTCATTCTTGTCTGCGTACTGAACCGCCTCGCAAGCTCCGACTGTCATTTATTGACTCGAGTCCGACGCTCCGTAAGTCATATCCTATTAGTGATTAAATCCTCGTCGCCATCAACCAGGGGCAAGCGACAATTCCATATAGGTGCTACAACATGGAAATGGGCATCGACAGAATCAATCAAATGATGGACGATGTTCCCTTGGACTCATGCGTTCCGATTGCGATGACATTTGCCCGAGACAAACTCGATTGACGCGATTCGCCGACCTTCCCTGATCCGTCTTTTGCACATCTCGCGATGCCTCGATTACACTGCGAACTCATCGATGTCACTCCAGCACCTCGCTAATATTGAAGATTAACAGTTCTCGACCTATTCACGCGCCTCATCGCCGTGACTCTCCCTCCAAAACCGCTCTCACTCGCCCACCTCGGCACCCCGTTCCAAGATGCCTCAGTACACTTCTCGCGATGTCGGCGACCCTTCGCAAATCAAGAAGAACAAGCAGTCGATGGCCGATCTCAAGCTCCGACGGCTAACCGAGCTCAACAATCGTCTGCGCGAGGATCTTGAGCGAGAGCGTATTCCCGTCAGCACAGCATCAAAGAGGTGAGTTGATCGTGTTAATCACGCCCAACGCGTCAGTAACTGATCCGTATTAGCATCATTGCCTACTGCAATGGCACTCGCGACTACATGGTTCCCTCCGTCTGGGGCGCTGTACCCAAGGGCGAGGACCCTTATGCGCCGCAACAATCTGGCGGCTGCTGTGTGGTCATGTAATGCTACCCGTGATAATAATTTTTCCTTATTACTGGTTACCAAAATCAACAATTACGCAATGTCGGCAATGATTCAGCGATTAGGGGGTGGGCCGCAGTCGGGTTTGATATGCTTGTGACGCATTTAAGGGGAGTAAATCAAGGAGAACTGAGTCTGGGATACTCGGATGATGGAGGCGAATTAGGCCCTGGATACCGAAGCTCTTGCTAGCACTACCACGACGGCTACTTGGGAAGCTACCAGGAACGACTTGCCCTATTGACGAAGCGACGCGAAGCGCGAGAAAGAGGGAGAAAGCCCATACACAAGATCCAGCTGTACCAGAAGGACCCAGATCAAGATACCCAAGATACCATACTATTTGAGCGGGTCATGAAAACCAACAGCGAGAGCAATGGAGCCATAGTTTATGAGGAGGGCTGGACTGGACTACAGCGATTTAATATTTCTGTCTCCGCACGTTTGTTTTTCTTCCCGCTGGAAGAGACATGGATGTTGCTATGAGACCAACGATAAGGGGAGAGGTTGAAGAACCACTACGACGAGTCCGGGTCTGAGTCTGGGTCTTAGGAAACGGTTTATGGATCGGGCTCTTGCGCGAATGTAATAATTCCCCTTTTTATTATCATTTTTCTGTTATCATCTTGGTGTCATTTCCATCCAATGTCGTGTACGTTCCCCAAGCAAATATACTTTTTTATCTATGATTTGATGACTTTAATCCTTGCACCTGTTGATCTTGAGGCTTTGAGATATGAGTGTTAATCGTGCTTATACTCGGTTTTATAACTCGTGATTTCCACTTAGTCATTTCTGCCCATAGGATAAGTCACTATTTCGCATAGTGCAGACTTTGAGGGTTTAAGGACTCAATCTTACGCCCGTCCGACCCGACCCGGGCAATTCTTCCTTGCAGCCTTTTGCTGGAGAGTAGGTACATAACGTCCCGACCTCGAGCAGGTCTTGAATATCATTATACACTACCCATTCACTTTGGCTACGCCGTAGAGAGTGCTGCCCCTTTCGCTTCTAACCTGTAACAGCCATATATCACATCTTATGTCGAGGTCTTCAGCAGAACCAGTTCTCTTCCTCAGCATGGATGTCAGTACATTATCGGGGGCACCTGATGTACCTAAGCAGAAATCACTAAGTGGATCACCTGGGTCGAATTGAGGCGTTCTCGACCGCGGGGCTTGCATACAGAGGTATGACTGGGCATTCGCATTAGCTGTAGGTGGAGGGGCAAAGAATATCCCCTCATACAGTATACCTACCTACCTGGGTAGTTAGTAGTATATGCTACTACTTGTAATCATCTACAAGTATCAATCGATCCTGGGCATCTCAAGCCATTAGGGCAAGATTCCCGTACTGTTTCAATTGTTCCCTTCAAACCTCAACGATAAGGTCACCTTACTGGAAAGATTTCGTTGCCGAACTCAAGCTCTGAACCCTCAACGCCTCAGAGTTTAAAAACTCAAAAGTCCAGCCCAGCCAAGCCAAGAATAGACCACGACGTTCCCGGAAACGACTGCATAACATAGCATAGCAAAACCAGCAACTGAGAGTCAGCGAGAGAAAATCATGACAAGCCAGGCGTCCACGCAAACGCCTCTTCCCCGCGTTTCTATCCAGTTTTGCACGCAGTGTAAATGGATGTTACGAGCTGCCTATGTGAGTTGACCGAATTCGCAGCCTGCTAGCTAAGGTAGGTATGTTGGCATGTGACGAGAAGCTCACACCCCTCAGTATGCTCAAGAACTCCTCTCCACATTCTCAACAGGCCTCGGGGAGGTCGCTCTTCAGCCTTCTACAGGAGGGACTTTCATCGTGACCATCACGCATCAAGCCCCTGGTGCAGAAATTGCTTCTACAAAGACCCTCTGGGATCGTCGGGAAGATGGGGGCTTTCCTGAGACGAAGGAGCTCAAGAGGAGGGTGAGAGATGTCATTGAACCAGGAAGAGATCTAGGCCATGTTGATAGGGATCATGGGAAGGAGGATGAGGCAGCGAAAGACAAGCCAGTTGACAAGGAGAAATGCGACGATTGTCAGTAGCGTTCGTTTCTCAAACATTTGGGGTCATGACCTGGCTGGCCTATGGCGGGTTAATGAATGCCCCTTCACGTGTGGCATTCGTATTGATAGCGCCGCTTGCTGTCCAAGAAGAATCTTCCATCATGTAGATGTGAATAGGCATAGTTAGACTTATACGCCTACGTGGTGGTCATCTGAGGAGATGAGTATTCTTGTGATTCCATAACAGCCACTTCGTACTCATCCTCAACTTTGGCGTAAGTCGAGTAATGAGTACTATCAACCAGATACTACGACACCATCTTCGTCACAATTCGGGCAGCTGTTACTTTTCGCTCTAGCAACTTATTCCTCTCCTCTTGCACTACCTTCGCTATCCCTTACCAAAATCAAGCAACGCTTTACCCTCCTGCCCACTCTCCCTAAACCCATCTAAAAGCACAAAACGTATATAGGGGTCGCTCTTGAGCAACGAATAAGACCACACAAAGCTCGTCCATGAAATGCAACATGACCGCAAAAGAAAACGCTCCCAGCCAGACAGATTAGCAATGGATGGAGTATCTTATCCTTGTCATCACAAGAAATCAAGTGAGAGAATACCAGCCTCTCGAACTGCGTATGTCCACGGGCCAGCCTACGCAGAGCAGACATAGCAAGATCGTCTGTCCCGTGGATCATGTGTGCATGGAATCCGAGAACTGTATGTGCGCTTGTGCAACTCAAAAAAACAGTTTTGTCAATGTTTTATCTGTGTGTGGAGCTAAGAAACAGCCGTTTGTCGTTATCAAGTTCGCATATAGGCATTAGAGACGATTCGGGTTTCGCAAAAGTCAGCGTCGCGTCCGGCGCCTCTTAAGTTCCGTCACCCTCCCAGTGGACCAACATTCCCTGCCACCAACGGTGGCAAGGCTAGCTGCGAGACGGCGGAGATTGGGGGTGCACTTCGATCGAGACAAGTCCCGAGTCGAGTCGTTCGTTCTTCGTCGCGGTTGTCATTCACCTTGGTTGAAGAGGTGGGATGATCGTTTAACGTCGGCCGAACCTGTTGAAAGCACATTGTTGGTATAAATTCTTCAAATATTTTTCTTGCGGGGGGAGTTGATAGGCGTGCTAGCGCTGCCAAGAGTGGTTGGAACATACTTTTGCTTCTTTTCAGCGGGTTTCAAGATCTAGAAAAAGCATAATCAGCATGTTTGTATCATAGTAAGCATTGTAAAATCTCACCTGAAAAGAACACAGCAAGCTCTCGTCGACACTCATCATCGCACCAGCATTGTCAAATTCACCACAGTAGTTGGGCGCACTGAATAGCGTGACCAGCTGACGCTTGGAAAAGAATTCATAGCCATCCTCCACAACCTGATGAGCTCGGCAGATTAGGTCCATATCGTGTTTCTGCAGGAAGCGCGAGACAACATCGGGACCAAATGTGAACGAGACACCACGGTCATTTTCGCTCCAGCCAGTAATATCCTTATCTGGATCAGACCACAGGAGATCGCAAAGAAGACCGCAGTCAGGGATCTAGAGATCTGTCAGTATCTCTCACTCGGAACAATCTACGCCTTCATCTCGCGCAGTCCCGGCTACTCACATCAGTAGGTCGCATGACACGGCGAATTTGCTCCATAGAGTTGAGGTCAGGGCTGAGGCCACCGTGCATGGTGAAAATCTTCTCGTCGATGATAGCGGCGATAGGAAGGCAGTTGAAGCAATCGGTGAACGTCTTCCAAAGCTTGATGTTGTAGCGACGCTTGCACTCGTCGTAGAAGCCATAGATTCGGTTGATGGAGGCGCACTCGTGGTTACCTCGGAGGATGAAGAAGTTTTCGGGATACTTGATCTTGTAGGCAAGGAGCAAGCAAATGGTCTCAAGAGACTGCTTGCCTCGGTCGACGTAGTCACCGAGGAAGAGGTAGTTGGCCTCGGGAGGGAAGCCACCGTACTCGAAGAGTCGGAGAAGATCGTAGTACTGTCCGTGGATATCACCGCAGATCTATCAGGGCACAGGTAAGTCAGCAAAGGGGTTTTCTTGACTGCCAAAACCCCAGAGCAGAAGCGCCCGTAGCAAGCACCAATTCTCAGACCGAAGCAGCACGAATAATGACCAAAAACATACCTTAATTGGAGCCTCCAGTTCGAGAAGGATGGGCTGAGAGATGAAGATCTCACGAGCCTTGGTGCAGAGATAACGGATCTCAGCCTCGAGAAGCTGAACTTGCTTGCCGGGTCGGCTGCCTCGTACCTCGAGTAGCCTGTCGATTATAGAGTCGAGATCGACCTCGTGTTGGTCTGCCATTTTGAGAGAATTTGCTGGCGAGAGGATGCCCGCAGTAGAGTTAAGGGAGGGTCGCGTGGGGGAGGAGGAAGGCGGCAGACAAGATCGCTAATCAGAACAACTGCGGGGCCAACTTTGTCGACTGAAATATGATACCAGATGAATACACTTCACAAAAACCTGGCCGAGTCAGCCGGTGAACCGGGATGCAACAAGATACAAGGCGAAAAAAAAGAGAGACGTGGGAAAAGAGACAAGTCGAAGAAAAATGTGTCCAAACAAACTCGCAAACGCCGCGACCGACAAGAGGGTGAAAATTTGACGGTGAATGGATGGATAAATATGAGGCAAAATACAAGTTTGGGTTTGCTTTGCGTTGCGTTGCGTTGCGATGGTGGAACAACGAAACGAGAGGAGTCTAGAAAAATTGGAGGGGAAGCAGCCGAACAAGCATGAAGAGAGGGCTGTGAGCGCGAAATGGGTACGGGAGGGGAACAAGAGGGGAGACGAGACGGCGCGGCGCGGGCGAGCAATGAATTGAATGGGGCGCACGCCAGTACCAACGCCAAATGGTAACTTACCCGTGAAGGGATCACGTCTCTAATGGAGTGAGCGATTGGAGGATTTTGCGTTTCGAGAGGTCGAACCCGCAGAAGAGCAAGTTGATCAGCAATAGCAAATTGTGTCGCCGTTCGATATTGAATTGCAAAAAAGAAGCAATCTGATCACGTTGAATATGGGGAGAAAACAATCGTCGTCGTGGTTGCCGCAGTGGGCCACCGACTTTGGTTGTTGATAGCTGTACCAGAAATAGACAGGTAGGTACAGGGCGTCAGAAAATGAGGGGCGAGCAAGATGCTAGAAGCCAGAAGGGGGGAGACAGAACACCGTCAGCGCGTGCGAGTTTTCGCGGTCCTCGTCTTCTGGTCAAGCAAGAGTAAATATTGCGTCGACAAATATGTGACGCTTCGTCGCCTTTGTAGGATGTATAAGCAGAGTGCAGCAAAGGGCCTCTGTATCGTCGGCTTTGATGATTTTCTTTTGAGATATGAGAAACGATGTTCTCGTCGCCTTTTTTTTTTTTTTTTTTGCTTTTTTTTTTAAATTTATTTATGTTATCGTCGTCTGGTCTGTTGGGGCAGCCAAAGTGGGCGCGATCAGGGAATTTGGAGTTGAGGGACGGAACACGGTGGTTCGTCAGTCGTCGTCTGGGGCCAAAAGGAAATGGCGGATCAAGTAACAAGCAAAGCAGCTCTTCACAGAGACGAGCGGTTTGTGATATGTTCGCAGAGAGTGTCGGCGATGTGGCTAACACGTGGAGAGAATCTTCGTCTCGGTCGTCGTCGGGTTGAGTTGAAGGGTTGAAGTTTATCCTGTGACCTGAGGGAACGGAAGGGGGAAAGTTTTCCAATTTTTCCTGCCTGGGCTTTCACACTCACTCACTCACTCGCTGAGAAGGTGGACTCGTCACAACCACCAAACAGAGCTGACCCGACCGGGACGCTTGGGCTTTGGGCTGCCTGCACTAAACGGTACCTGCCCTGGTCTGGAAAAGCGCTAGTACAGGGCCCGGATGTGAACATGGCCCTCAGTGGCACTCCGGGGTTGGGGCTGCTGAGGATAGCTATATTTTTAGTGGGAAGCCGCTATAAATTGCATTGGATCCTCACCCGACCTCACCTGCCCATGGATGCCTCGGTGTGACCCGACAGGACAGATCCAACGATGGACAGAGACAGAATCTTGGCTCTTCTCATTGATCCAGTGTCTACATAGCATCTGCATACCCATACAACAATAGAGACTGGAACGTAACTCATCTTGACATTTCAGAGCACCTCTTCAATTATTCCTTGTCGTCCTGGGTTACTTTGTTTCTTGTCTCGCTTGCTTGGCTCAAATCACCGTCTCATTTCCTTCTCGCTGTAAGTCTCATTTGCTTGCTGCCCGTTGGGTGCCCAGGTATGGATACCCTCACCTCATATCGCGTCTTAAGAAGCCCTAACTTCTAAACAAAAACCTTGATTTTTTCTGACAAGCCAGCCTCGCCAGGGAAAATTGCTCCTTTCCTGTCACTAGGAATTAAAAAAAGGGGGCGTCTGGACTTTAAGGGCTCCGACATAGCTTTGGCGACCGGATTCGTCGGCGCTTAGACTAGAGCACCAAGTGATAGAGAGCCCCAATTGAGCAAACATCAGTTTCATCTGGCTCAGCCTCTCTCGGCTTTCTTAGCATCGGTCCCCAAGTCAGTCCCGGAGAAGAGAGTCTCTTTCCTTATTAGTTCATCACCCGAAAGTACGTGCGAATAAGGAAGACGTTGTCGCGTGTGTATAGGTTGCGGATGTGAGAAGCTGATTCGTTCGACATGAAGCGCATCGAGAACAGGGATTTCTTCAATACCAGGATATGATACAAAGATAGACAGGCCCGCAAAGTCGTATTGCGATCGAGTATGTAACATCCACTCGTTTCATTCCAGTTGACAACGGTCACGGCAGAGCTTACTTACTCTCCGACTTCAGACTTCAAAAAAGTCGCCTCATCCACTCTTCAGCAACTCCTTCATAAACCCCATCGGTTTTCAGTTGCGCATGCAAGAAACTTGCCACTCATGCCCAAGGCAACACACAACGGCCCATGTCCTTCCTCTGCTGCATGATGCTGATCCCTTTCGAGGTCTCTGTATGGAGGATCGAAAAACACCAACCAAAAATCAAGAACCTGGTGCATACGGAGAACTAGCTCTGCAGAGCTAAGCTAAGCTCAGCTCCATCCAAGAGAGAAAAGAATTCTGCATTGGATGCTCCGATTTAACCATTTCATCCCACGTAAGCTCGATGAACATGTCGGCTAACAATGTGTGTGTATCACAGCTTTATTGTTCAATAATTAGACGAGCCAGATATTAGAAAAGGCAGCAAGACACCTATCTTTGTGCTACCCAAGCTCCGTCTTGTGAAGAAAATGACCGCAATTTATTCACCGACCATTCATTTCTCTCTCGTCTATTGCGTCAGTACGCGTGCCCCGCTAGGACGCGCAGGAGCCGGTGTACAAATACAAACGGTGATGCAAGCAAACGAATGGACGAGGGTGGCTACCGGTACATCATCGCACATCCAGGCCGTGATTCACGTGACATCACAAGCCATCACCGCCACTAAAGAGAGTTATCAGATAATCCTTTCCAACATCATGAGAGATGTTCTCCATCATATCGTGATCGAATTATGTCACCGAGTTCCATATATCCGCTCCGGGTTTCACTTGATCGTAAGGGGTTCATTCCATAGGGGCCGTCATGAAGCAATCAAAGCAGGGTTGAGATATTATTGAACTCAGTATTCGATGGAAACTATGGCCCAGGAGTCATACTATTCGGTTCAGATTCCACGATCATTAAGTTTATACATTTGTATCGTATCCCACTAACCATACACATTCTCAAGCCGCAATCCATCGCTGAGCTAAGTCCTTTCATTCCCATAATCCATGGAATCTTTCGCCAACGCCTTTTCCATCCCATAAATTCCTTCTCAAAGGTATTGACCCTGCAATACTTGTTTCCCGTCCTTCCCTAGAACGCCAAGCTCATCAGTGCATCTGTATGGCCCTTTATACTCTGTGAAATGAACCCGCATGACAAAAATGGCAAGCAATCAAAATGCGCCGGTTGTGGTGAGCGTTTGCTTGGTATGTGCCTGTACGTTCAAGATCATCTTCTCCTTGTTGATGTCCTCCGCTTCTTTGCTTTACTCGCTCTGGTCTTACCACCCGCGGGTTCTACCTCCTCCTTCACATCTGCCTCAACTGTGGCAGTTGCTGCAGCGTGGTCAACATCCATACCCAAGCCTTTGAACTCTTCGTCATCTAAATCTGTAAGGTCCTCGCTGAGCATGCGGATGGCATCTCTCCCGGCCCATCGCTCCTCAAGAACAGATGTTCCCCTGGGATCATGACCCTTGAGGTACCAAAGTATCCCTCCATCTGTGAGAGGATCCGTGGGCTCCAATCCAAGACTGCCGTTAGATTGTGGCGGTGTGGGAGGCCCCGGTTGTGCCGGCTGAGGCTTCGGCATATAACCATCTGTGTCGGGGGGTGTATTGGAGGAGTTGACAGTGTTGTGGAGAGACTCGTGTTTTTCGACAGCACCCGCCTCTGCAAGATCAGATGTGTCGACATCAATATTAGTGCTGACCTCAATATTTCCATTTTCTGAAGTGGTGTCCATCGCATCTCCACCCTCGATAGAACTGGCCTTAACAGTAATTTGAAGCTCGGCATCAACCATAATGGTGTCGTTGACTTCATCACTGAGGTCAGTTGGTTTATCTTGGCTCGTCGCAGTCAGTGGTCGGACGTCCACGCTTCTGTCAATGATGTTCTCCAACTCCTTCTTCAAGCCCTCGAAAGGCTTTTGGGAGATCTCCGACTCGATTCGCAAGGCTGTCTCGAGGTGTGGCTGAACAGCCTTCAGTATGCGTTTTCCCAATTTTCGGCGCTCTCGTATATCCGAGAAAGTGGTTTTAGCAGGCGGTGCGTCGACAGCTTCAGTTTGAGTTGCAGCCGTAGATGACTCAGGCGGTGCTGTAGAAATGCCAGTACTGATTACATCGCAAAGATCTAAAGCAAAGGACATGACTGTGACATAAAAGCGGGCATTAACGCGGCTCTGAAGCTTGTCAAGACCGTCCTTGAAGAGATCCTTATCAAGTCTGAAAGAATTAGTCCAAGTCAAGATCAGCGGAATAATACATGCACTTACGATATTGCTCTGTCAACAGCAGGGTTGAGAAGTTTCGCGACAGGGAAGTAACACTCATCCACAAATTCTTGTTCAAGTTCACCAGCGGCAACCTTGATCTGCTCCCGTTCCACAAGCTCAGCTGCAAGATCTTTGAGCTGCTCAAGCTCAACAATCAAATTCTCAGCGAATTCAATGCGTCTAGCAAGCCTGATCTTTCCGCTCGGTCCCATGGCTGCGAAGTCACGCCGCGTAAGCTCCATCGAGGAAAAGGACTCCATCTGGAGCTGCAGACGCTTTAAAAGTGCTGCTCCTCGACGATTCTCACGCTTCAGGGTCCAGTAGCGGCATGCCTGGCTCAAGAACTCCTTGCGTTTGGGAAATGCGAATCTTTGGATCGAAGCGTCCACGACTTCAAACACGGCCTGCGGTATAATAGGTGCACCTGCAGGAGTTTTCCAGACGTTTTTCGGATTCTGGCCTCTCTTTTTGTCGCCAACCGCTGCAGACTTTGTCCCAGTAAGCTGCGTTTCGTCCGACGGCTGTTCCGAAAGGGCATTGCGCTGCTGCTCTGCAATAGCATTCGCAACAGCGGTGTTATCAGCCCAGATACGATTTCTCATAGTTCTCTTATAGAATTTCTTGGCCGCCTTTGTGGCCTGTTGAACACTATGCTCTTGCACATAGTCAGGGGGGCAATGCTTGTCGCAAAAGGCCTTGAGCACCATGCCGCCATCCAACACAGCGAGAGCACCCTGGCTAGTCTTCATCTTAAGAAACAGCCGGGATCTCCGCGCACAGGTGACATGAAATGCTTGATAGCAGTTCTTGTTTCCGCATTGTATGCATGCGCCCATCCGCTGTCGACAAATGTAACACGTCAATTTCCAACGGTTTTTCGGGACCTTTTCTACGTCCATGACTGGTTCCATGAACGTGTGGTTACCCAAGGAAACCTCAGGAATCCACATTGCGCAAAGCAGATGTGCCCACTTCGAAGAATTTGTTTGCTTGAACGCACCGTCGGTATTGGGGCAGAAGATGCAAGTCTGCTTTGGGTCAGTAGGGTAACTCGAGAAAGTGTTCTGAGCTAGACTTACGGGAACGGAAGGCCCGCAGAGCTGGCATTTGCGGCAGAGCCACTGGCCTTCTGGGATAAATGGGACACCATAACATTCTTGATGAACTGCGAGGTTGCAGCCATCACAGAACACAATTGCGTTGGTGTTTTCACAATCGCCGTCGTCGCAAATGGCGCATTTTGAGTCAGGCTCTTCACCCCCTTGCGGCTCACCATTGACAGCGGCGGCAGAGCTTGATCGTGGACGATGTGTTTGTGGAGGCTTCGGGTTCGGTTTTGGAATTCTCTTCTCGAGCACATGCCACTCCTTTTCGATCTTTGTCATAGTGATTTCGAAAATTTCCCGGGTTATAGCTGGAACGTCGTTTTGCTTGCGGTGGGTATTGTATCGCCCAAGCCAGATATCATCTTGTTCATCCATATCATATTCGACACGACCGATTCGGGTACGGTGAACCGGTCCGTCAGATGCTGCCATAGCAGCATCGGTCAATTCTGCATCATCTTCCATGGTAAGATCAGAAGACTTGATTAAAGCTTGCTCCGGGCGCAGGTAGTGATCACTCTCCTGATAGCCGACATTACTCATTGACTTGTCGACAAAACGAGCCTGACCAAAGGTTTTGCTCTCATATAATTCAATGCTGTTAGTTTTGCGGTATGACGGTAGTTTAAGATCCAGTTTCTCTTTCGGTGTCTGGTTCTGGATGGGTAGGATTTTAGGTGTTTTCGGTGTTGTGAGAAAGTCCAGGGGCTTGCTGCTATAAAAGCTGACCACATCTCGGGTCGGTCGACGAGGGCGCCGTAAAGGTGTTTCGCTGAGAACATCGGCTACATTCGAGTCTGAGCGGCCTTGGGGATTTGGTGTGTTTCCAGTTGATGCGGGGTTCGGTTGTCTGGATGGGGTTAGAGTTTCGTCCAAAGGTGTTCCGAATGCCTGAACCACTGATAAATCCGGTTGTTCTCGAGTTATACCATCAACTTGCTCAGATGGCAGGATCATGAATGTAGCATCAATATCTAGGTTAGGGTGGAAGTCCTCCCAGCTGCGCTCCTCGCGGGGCTTGTAATCTTCAGCCTGCTTCACAGCAGTCGCCATAGCTGCAGCTGAACCCCATTGCATTTCCTCTAAGCCATCATTGCCAGCAGCTCGCGTGCGAGCGCCTCTTTCTCGTCGAGGCATTATGGATGGAGAAGGGCCATTGATAGCCTCGCGCGCAGCTGCTCTTGACCTCGATGCTGTTGAAGGCCCAGTGGTATTCGGCGTGGTCAGCAAGTCAGCATCAGCGAAGCGACCACCACCACCGGCCCCTCCTGGAATATATCGACGTCGTTTCGGCGGTGGTTCAGTTGCGGAGGCTGCCGCGAGAGCTGCTCTTGCAGCACGAGCAGCATTGGTCGAGCCCGGAGGACGACCCCGACGTCTTCCGGTGACGGGTCGCCTGGGAGTCGGAGATGCCGGAGCCATCTTGAGCGAAACTAATGGCGATGTAAACTTGAAGCTCGGAGCGTCGCTGGCGCAAGCTTGAGATGGGTAATCGCGTCAAGGGGGAGGTGGCGCGCAGGCTCTGTCCGAAGCTTGGCGATTTCACCAATCATTTGAAAGGCGCCATACACACCAGGAGAGCTGTCTTTACTATTCCGTAGGATTGATGGCCAAAGGAAGACTTGTTCAGTGAACAAATTGATGGAACTCGCGACTGCAGAGGAGGTGATGTTCTGCGTCGGGCAAGGAACGCGTGAAGTTGGCGTGCACGGCCCCCGTTTAGTCAGCGGCATCCAGGGCAAAGGCTGACATAAAGAGGTCACCAGACTTTGAGATATTTTGGGGCACTACAAGCGACGAGTTGCTCAGATTAAACTTTCAGTATGGTTCAACAGCGTTACTTGTTTATGCAACTCATCTGTCAGTCTGTCTCTTTCTGGCTTAAGCTCATGGGCCGCATCTGCAACGTGGGGAAGCAGATCTAGCATTTTGATAGAATTGCTTGATCAGATCTGACACGACTTATTGTGCCTGGCATTGCTGCCCTCCAGTGACGTAGGATCTCCCCAAGGAAAAGCCCTTGCGTTTGACTACAAGTAATGCCAAGATTTGTTTCCCCAGTTCGCAGATCACCGTTGCTTCAGGTTGCTGGCGCTTTCTGCCTACCTACCTCTAGTACCAGTACTTTTAGCCAGGCCATCCGAAATCTCCTGACCTTGTGATAAGCATGTGTGTATTGTCTGGTCCTAAGCTTGTCTGCACCTGCAACTGTTTGGTTCAGAACTTTCAAGGGACCAGCCATCAGTTGGTAATGCGTTGTCTCTCTCTTGCGCCCACCCGACCAGGGACTTGTTATTGATTCCAATCGTATTAACGACGATTGTTTGCATATGACTCCTTGGCTCCGCAAATCATGGAAGAAATGCCTAAGCAAGATCTAGAGATCTGCCCAGGGGTTAATTTGTGATCCTATCATATCCTACCCTCATGCCCACTCTTGTTGACACTTTGACACCTGTGTAAGCGAACTGGGTCGACAGTGCAACAGCCCATTACCGCCTTTTCCTCCCCATGCAATGACAATCATTCATGATCGGTTGTCAAAGAATTGCGAGATATCTTATAGTTGAAAACAATATTCATCGCCTGACATCCATACCACCATATCTACATCGCCGATAGCAATGCAGAAGCTAGATTTGAGCACCCACAGAACTACTCCGACGCTTGAGGTGCATGAGAGCTTATCCATATTCACGATGGCCTCAGATCTAATGACCCTAGTACCTGTCCCTGGCCGCGGGGCCATCCGCTTCGATCCACTCCGTTGCCTCGGCGGCCCCAGAACGGGCACGACTTCCGGGCGGATCCAGGTGCTGGCAATTCTTCTGAGCGGTCAATGATTAACGATGTATCGTCAGTTGTGGTGTCGTTATATGGCTCGCGGTGACTCTACGCTCAATAGCTTACAGCCATGTAACAGTGACAGCATTGTAAAATGTCATAAAAAAGGCACGGCATTTCCATGTCAGGTAATTCAAATGGCTGTAGATGCACAGATAAGTGCCTAACTTGATAGATAATCCATATCAAAGCCTCTGACCGCACCGGAACAATGTCATGCACATCATCCTGTGTGCCATTTCAGCATATGCCTTCGTTTCTCATGGGTTGCGGGAAGCATGAAGCGTTAAACTGAAAACATAATCACATGCGCTACCAATACCAAAGGTCTGTGAGAAATACCATAAACAGATAGCCAGAACTTTACTACCAACTAATCCATTAGCCACAGCCTGAAAATCTCCAATTCGATCGCTGGCACTACCTTCGTCGCCACCGTGATACTGTCATGGCAACTGCGAATGCGAATGACCTCGAATCTGGGGTATTGACTCAGCCATCCAACACTAGCTTCATCAATGGTGCCATCTTCACCAGAAATTCGATGTCGCACCTCGCCCAGGAATGATGACGCCCCCTCATGGCTCAGATATTGGCCAAGCCTTAAACTTACCCTCCCAACCCTTCAATCTCTCACTCAGCCCGCCCCTCCATCATCACCAACAGATGTTCTTATGTACCTTATACCAACGGCTTAGCCAGCCCACCATCTCAATGTTCTAGCTGTGTCAGGAACAAAGCGTCCATAACCATCTGGTCATGTCTCTTTCAATACTCCTAACCCCAAGCCTCTTTGGTCCTTCTGCGACTTAAAGCATCAGGCTAAAGCCGGCTGACCTGGTCACGTCAACCAATAGTCTGGCTCGTCTCTTGGCTTCTTCCACGACAGCATCATCGGAGCACAGCAGGATCATTTCCCTCCTGGGGTCCATAAGCCATGACGAGTGACCTCTGAAACGATTCATGTTGGCGGTGCGATCTGTGCACGCTCACAATAAGGATATTTTGGGACGGTGGCAATTCATGATTATCAAGATGTCACGACAGTATTACGAGGACAACTAGAACCACCAAGGGTTTGAACAGATAAGGGATATCATGTATTACAACAATGTCCAATTCTTCAGCATAGCTGCCTCAGATCACATAACCTTCAAGCCAAGTGAAGTCTTTTTTTCTTCCAACCGTACCGTAAAATCAAAATGCATATGGGCAAACGCCCTTGACCTTCCAACGCAATGTCCAGACTCCTACGTGAAAGCAAAAAACAGTACATGTTCAATCTCATTTCGAATGAGAATAACAGGCATCCCTTAGATGAAACCCTCTCTCTATCAGAAGCCGCTGAAAGATGTGATATCTCTAGAACAAGGGCGAGAGAAACATGCAGGCTCCAGAAAGGAGAAGCAGCCATGAAAAGTAAATATGAGTTCCTATACTCAAACAAATGCAGATGCGTCATCTGCCCAAAACGCCGCCTCGCTATGCTCCATGATATCGTTGCAAATGCCAATAAAAAGTAAAATACGAAGTGTTCGAGCTTGAATCTTCAGACTTAGCTCAACAGAAGAATTGAAATCATACCGAGGAGTCCAGCATGCTCCCACAGTAGAGAGGGTATATGGGTATCATATGGATGTCGTTTTCCAAGTCTAACTCTGCTGGTATCGCATCTTCGATTTCAGCCCAAGGTCCGACCACTGTGTATGGCTTGAGCCTGAGGGGCGTGGATAGGAGTGTGTGCTGTGCGCATGGCTGTACCGGATGGGAGATTAGGTGTGGAAAAGTCTGCCGGGCGGCTGGGAGCCCAAGTCTCTTCGCTCAAGACAGAAAGGTAGCTATTGCCAACAGTATTCCGCAAGGCTTCAATCTTCTGACGGTATATTTCACCACCGGCATCCCAGTCCTGGGATTCCTTCCAAGTGGAAGCATCATCGTTAGATGAGTAAGCAGCTGGGATGTCGGTGAAGATGTTGGTGTCAACTCGCGGTACTTCAGGTGAGCTGACAACTTGCGACTCGGTCGATAATGTGGGCGGCGACAAAACCTGGCCTTCAGGCTGCTGGGATATCCGGTAGTTTCCGTCGTTAGTGAGCGGAGACTTGGGCTGCTTGCCAGCCGGCTTCGCTATTTGAACCTCGACTGGGGATGGGAAGGATGGGGTATCAGAAGTGGCCAAATCCACGATTCGCCTCTTTGGAGTTTTTCGCCGACGTGTCGAGCTGGTGTTAATTTCACTCATGACAGCCTTAGGCGTAGGCCGTTCCTTTCGGAGGACAGCTGGCTCTTTGGGAGGGTTGAAAATAATGGCAGGCTTGCTGACATCAACAGTAGGCACCTCAGGAGCCTGTGGCTTGACGACAGGGATGGAGTCCGGGATAGGGGGGCGGTCAACCAGTGATCGTCTTTCAACGTAACTGGGACCACTGCCATCAATAATCACGTCATCAGTATAGCCTGGAGCTTTGCGAAAGAGATTGAAGATGGTGATCCGATAATCCTTGTGGGTACGAGTGAAGGGATTGCCTTCAACCCAAATCTCGTGGATGTCGGGGATACCTGTCAATCTCGCCACTTCCATTGGGTCGACTAGACGGTTATCTCTCAAATCGAGTCTCTCAAGAGGAACCAACTTCTCAACGCCAGCAAGGCTCTGGAGCCTGTTTGCTCGAAGATTGAGAGCTGTGATGGCAGGAAGAGGGTTGCGGGTCAAGGACTGGAGAGAGTCGATCATGCAGTTAGACAAGTTCAGAGCTCTAAGGGCGGTCAGAGTAGCCAGACTGTCTGGGACCTGGCTGAAGAGGTTGGAGGAAATATCCAGAGAGTAAAGTGTGTTGGATAGGGGTGCCAGACTATTTTGCGGAATGGAAGTCATGGAATTGTCAGCCAGACTCAGATGTCGCAAAAAGCGCCACTTTGAAGTGGGGAGGACGCCCATAGCAAGTAAGTTACCAGAGCTGCCTCGAGAATGGTGATGACCAGTCCAAGAATCAGAAAGACTGGAATGAGAACTACCAGATCCCGATCGCCTCATGCGATGATGGTTACCTCGAACAGGATGTGATTGCGTTCGAGAGCTGGTAGGGCGCGGAGGTGAGTTGCTCCTGGGACGAGAAGACTTGTGCACAGTTTGTGGGGAGTCATCTTGCTCGTCATCCTTGCTCAAAGACTGCCTACGGCTGCTCTCTTCGATAGCATGCTCACTTGGGGTCAACGAACCGACTCGCATGTCGACGTGTGCACCAGGAGAGCTTGGAGCAGACACGGCTCGGTGAAGCTCGGGGTGAGCAATATTACGACGAGGACTGCCGCTACCGGTCCAAACTGAAGTGGGCGAGGACTGGGATTTGGAGACTCGTCGACGGCGTTTGTCCATATCATCCAAGACGATGTCAATCAATATGTCCGCGGGGTCCTCAATACCTGCACGTTTCAGGGTAAGAGAACGCAGCTGATCAGCTAGACGATCCCAGCCAAAGAATTGTCGGAAGTCGATGCTGCTAACTTCGAGAGCCTGCAGGTTCTTGAAAACGTATAGGGGTACAGCTGAATCGAATGGAAACTCTTCATAACCACGA